TCTTTTAAGTTTGATTCGTATTTCTGTAAATGTATACAATATTATATTTATAGATTTATCTATGCTTAGACTATGTGTTTTGCAATTAGATGTTCTGGGTATCTTCTGCTCTTATGAACTCAGCTGTGTAATTGACCATGTATTCACAAACAACATGCCCATCTTCTGTGACAGGTTCCAGTGTCCCAAACCTCTTCCCACTGCTAGTGACTCAGTACCCCTTCCCCACACAGCCACTTCCATAGGCCTTTCCTTCCCCACCCTGACAACACAGTTAATCTCAGATTGTGTCTGGAAAGAGTTCATGGAACCTTTCCATCTTCTAGACTGCATGTGCATTGCATATACACTGCATGCAGAAGCCTAGAGTCTGAGTGTGCTGAGTTATAATGCATGGTGGACAGCATGTGCTGCATATGTCCGCAGACATACCTTTTTTCTGTAATGCTGTATGTCCTGGTGTCTGCTAACTCTAGATTGAGTTCATCTTATTCTTGCTGGCCTTCACTGAAAACAGCAAATTAATCAGCACTATTTTTAGGCTTATCTGGTTTACTATCTCATTGCTGCACCTTTGTCTTCTAGGCAAAAGCACAGAAAGAAAAGTTGAATATCTTGCTAATCACCACATTGCACATCCCCAGCCATCTTCAAAGTGCTGGATCTTTGCTATCTTCTTCTTCCTTCAAAGGACATACTATTAAATTTCCCAGTGCATAATCACAGAGAATTTGGTTCTGTCTTCAGTATGATACAACTATTAGATAAGGAATTTTACAACAAATAGATATACATGTTTAGAGAATTAAGGTACAAAATAGGGCCGCAGTTAATAAAACTATATTGTATGAAGCATCTTTGTTTAATAATTATACTTGTATTGTTTTATTCACAAAATACAAGCATGTGTGTGCTAGTCATTTTCCCATCAACTTATATCCTAGAGAACCATGCTATAAACCCCAAATATGGATTGTAAAATTTATTTCAATCAGTAAAATGAGAAGTCATTTTTAAGCCCTGCATTGGAGGCAAGGGCTGATATAACAGCCCCAGAGGGCTCTGGTGCCCCATGGTCAGCAGGAAATGGCCTGGTGTGTCCAGCCATCTGTGTTGGAGTCTCTGTGGGCTGCTCCCTGTGGGACAGCACAGAACCATTGCAGGAGCCTCCAATGTCTTGGCCCTGGACTGAAAAGCCAGGGTGAGGCAGGAATTAGGTCTGTGACTGCAGTTACCACCACACCACATTCAGTGTCCAGAGCTCAGCAGTGTCTCAGTCCTGCATCTGCAGTGTGCTGAGAATGGTAAGGTTTGATGTAGGAGGGATGAGGCCACTTGGGCACTGTGTGATTGACAGGGAAGGGGGAGGTATGTTTCCAGCCATCAGGACCACATGGCCTGGCCAGAGAGGGGAAACTTGGGAGAGGCGCTTACAGAGGAGGAATATGGAGATGATGTTGCATAAAAGGAAGGAGTACAGAGGATAAACCCAGAATGCAATTTTATTTTGGGTCTGAGCTACTTTTCATGGAGGTGAAACTCACCACTGGGGCTCTGACTGGGCAGATGCAGCTCACTGGGATGCAGCGGCCTCACTCTGAGACACCAGTCACACTGCAGATGGGGGCAGCCTGCATCAGGTCCACAGTCCTGCTGTCCTGGGCAGGTTACAGGGAGATGGGAGAAAATTCCCAGTGTCCTGTGAGGGAGATGTTCTAGTGAAGGGCTAGCAGGGAAGGATGGGGCCCAGTGGTGGACAGGACAGGACAGGAACCCCAGGGCACTCAGCATGTCCACTGCAGCTGGCTGGATTCATAATCGCCAGAGGCAGGGGCTGCACAGGGAAATGGCTGGAGAATTCGGGAAGTGCCATGGAATCCCACTGGATGGCAGTGCCCTGTCCCATAGCTGGACCCTCAGGGAGGCTGCTGCAGATTAAAGTAAGCATCACTGGCTTCACTGGTCTGTGTGTCCTCTCGCAGGCCCAGCAGTGCAAGGACAGGAAGAGCCTTCCTACAGGTGGGCCAAGCCTGCCAGCCCTCTGCCTGG